CTAATTGTTTAGAACTAGTTTCACCTCTTCTGATAGAACTAGGATCTGAATTATTAGAGCAGGCCTGTGTTTGTTTATTCTGCGTCTTTGTAAGGAAAAATATTTTCAAAATATGTGCATCCCTAGCTTCCAATTTATTGGATGTTTTGGCTATCTCATTAATGCTCAGCAGTTTGCATTATTAAAAATCTATTTGATTGTGACTATCCAGACGAAGCATCTAGGACCGAATAAAAATTCCATCTACAGTTTTTAGGGTCCCAATTTTCTTCTCTTATTACCTCATTATTTTTAACTTTGCTAAGCCCCCACAACTTTCAGCGTCGATCCAACATTAGCGGTTTCTATTTTTTCCAAATTGTTGGTGTAAAGGGTTTTATCAGATTTCTTGAATGGAATTCTATTTAGTATCATGACAGTACCAGTCATGAGAGCTTTCCTATTATTTCTGGCACACCAGAATTAATTAACATGTGAGTTATACCATAGTCCATTAGTGTTCCTATTTCTTTCTCTCAGCTATCTCCATAGATTGAGTTGTCATATGAGCATTATTTCATGAATAATTCCATTCTCTTCAACAAAATGTGTGTTTAGTTCACTCACCACCTCTATCTGATCTTAGTATTTTAAGTTTTCTTATCAGTTGATTTTTCAACTTCTGCTTTATATATTTTAAATTGTTAATGACTTCATCTTTGGTCTTAATTAAGGTTTTAGAGGTAACAATTTTAGCAGCAATCGCTCTATAAAAGTTACAAAATATTGTGTTCACCCCCTCTGAGTTGTTCTCTGAATCACATAACGATCACTTATGGATGAGTTCTAATATTCTCAGAATCTCGTATCATAGCTTTTAATCAAATGGGTTCTTAGGAAGTTGGTTCTACACATATTTACATTTTCCATCATCTCTTATATTAAGCTTTGGAATTATATTGTAGATGCCATCAATCTTTCTAACTTGACATTATAATCACATCCCTCAATTTTGATGCCAAGTATGAAGGTTCAAATATCAAAGCTATTGGTTAGATGCAAGCTGTAAATTCTTAAGCATTTCAGATTTAAAAAGGAGCCATCACATAAGATACTTTTCAATAAACAAAGTTCAAAACCCTTAGTTATTACAACTTTATTTTATTCAAAAACAAGCTTATAGCCTATGTTGCACCTAATCAGAAGTCCACTATATTAGTTTCTCCTAATGTCTGGTACCTGATAACATCTGCCAGGATCAACAGTCTATCAGAAGTCAAGCTTAAGAGTTTGATCCGACCTATGGATTCACAGGAAGCACACTATTAATTTTCCATCTTTGTCACAGTTCCTCTAGCTTGAGACCTGATAGGTGCGAAAACAAAGCTATTGATTAGACGCCAAAGTGAATAGTTAGCTCCACGGTCAACTCACCAATCATTTGCTTGAAGATCATGTTACTTCAGGATGTGAAGAGAACGACCTGTAATATGCAGCCTCAGCTGCGACTGGAAGTCACCATGTTTACTGTGACTTATTAGTCTGGAGGTCCTCGCCTTCCTAGCTTGGGGTTCTTATTTGATGATTAGGGTTTCTTTCTTAAATGTTTTATTTTATCTTTGGTGGAAGTCGGACGTTTTCTTGTGTTTTGGGAAAGGGATGTGGATTCAACATTGTTTACTTTGGTTCTTTGGGTTTCAGAGTTATTGTCACATTTTTCTCCCTATGCTATGTTGCTCTTCAAGTTCTATAGAATTCAATACTTTCTCTAGGGTAAGATCTCCTGGCGTATGGTTAAGGTTCTTTGGCAAAATCTGATCAGGACTTCCGCGAGAAGGTTGCTATAAGACGGCATCTGGAAACGTTTCATCTAAGCAATGCGAATCCATTCATCTTTTAATTTGGTACGCTAATATGTTCAAATTTCGATGAATTTGCTCATTCATTGGTTAGAACATACCATTTTAAATTTTTAAAAACTCAGACATGCTTAAAGCTTTTAATTCCCATATCATCGTAGGACCATACCTTTTTCTCTAAGTTTCCCCATCCAGAACTTCTTAGGCATTAGTATAGTATTAGTAACTATCTCATCTATAGTATAAAGCTCCTTAAGATCTGTAGACAATGCATACTCTATTTCTTGAGGTGTTCTTGGGATAGGAATGTTAATGCTGTCGAACTGTATTTTTTTGAAAGGATTGCCTCAGTAACTGGTCTATGGTATGAGGATGGGTTATCTGCGTTCTATGTGCTGCTTATTAGATGTAACAATGGTGTTAACGAACATCTCATTGCCGCTTTTGCCAACGGCACGCAAAATTTTCCCATCAAACTTCTCTGCGGTTGTAGCCAGACATAAGCTTACATTGTAGCCATCAATCTGATGGTGACATGAATATTTTTGTTTCTTAGTAATGCCAGCAGAAGAAATATTAAGCCATTCAGTTCAACAGAATAATCCATGATTGTAACATTTACGTTTTAAGATTGCCAGAGCAAACATTGAACATAAAAACCAGAATCGTTTACATCATGGTTTACTATCATCGGGTGTAAAACAGCCACAAAATTAGTTTGTCTTTGGGATGTTGCGGAAATATAGAAGCAGCTGTTAGACATTGAACGAAAATTCATGTCTTTCATAAGGCAATTTAATAATGTAACAGATACATACAGGATTAATATTGAACGCTTTTTTAAGTATGTCATAAGACACACAATTTCAAAACAAAAACAATAACGGGTCTAGAAATTTACGGCCGCTGATGGTCCATCGAGCCGTGAAGCACCTCTGCTTCCCAAGAAACTACATGCTCCCTCTCTGTACATGGCTACGCGGCAATAAGTCCCCGGATGATAACCCATCGCCGCTCAACGACCATCCTTCCTCGCTCGCGCGACGAGCTTCAAGAGGTTTTGCGGAATTTCTTCCTAGCACTTTCAGCGGGAACCGCATAAACAGAAAACTATTTTGAAAGAAAATGAGGAAGGAATGATAGAACTACTGTTTGATTTTTCCACTGTTGTAAAACATATTCGGGTTTGCCTGTCCTTATAGGTTAACCAGGTCCGATTACATAAACTCTGTAGTTTAATACGTCTTTAATCACGTAATCAAAGCTTAAGCGTCTATAACAATTCCAACAAAAACGCTTCCGTTACATAAAAATTCCACAAAACTACTGTTTCCCGTTTTAATCTCACACCACCTACATAAAACTTTTACCGTTACGAAATCATTTCTGTTCACAAAACTATATTCTATCACATGGTTAAGTGTGTTCAAAAATAAACACACGTTATCATATTATGCAAAACAATACAAAGTTCTAGCAGTATTAAGCCCCCCTCAGGTCCGAGTCTACTCCGTGTCCGCAGGTCTGCACTGCGGCCGCCACGCCGACCCGACCGAACCGACCCGAGCCCGAGCCCGAGCCCGGCCCCGGCCGGCGCACCTCGCCGCAGCTGCTGTCCGTGCCCTATCTGGAGTCATCACTGACCTTTGTTTGTCTTCTAGCCCAGTAGGAGAGAGAAGGGAAGGCTTATAAAGGATCTCTTCCTTCCTATTTCCGATGTCCGTATGTCTTGGCGACCTAAACTTTCTCCTCTATAAAACCAAGTTTTTAAGGTTTATAACGTCCAACAAGACGTTCCATCAAAGTTTCTATTCATGATGATACCTAGAGAGCATCCGGGCATCATATGAATCTCGAATGTACTTTTCACAACTGGATCACGAAACTTTGGTAGCATGGATTCCCACTTAATGATATAAGTTATCTCTCTCTCTCTCGTCTCTCTGCTCTCTTTTATCCATATATATTATATAATATATCATATAGATATCTATCTAGTCATAATTATATAATATATATAGATATCAGTATATATTATATAGTATTAATATATATGCGTCAACAACTAATATATCTATGTTTGGAAAATTTTAACAAATAAAATTCTATGAAATGAATCTTTAATAAGAAAAGCAAAAAATGAATTATTGCTGACACTTATTTGGGTCTTTTCAATTACTATTAACACGCACACACACAACTAATATATCTATTGAAAATTCTATGAAATAACATTATATGAAATGAATCTTTAATAAGAAAAGCAAAAAAAGAATTATTGCTGACACTTATTTGGGTCTTTTCAATTACTATTAACACAACTTACAATTTAAAAGAAATTATAAACGAATCATTCATCAATGGTGGCAACTAGTTATTGAGATATTGGAACACAACTTCCAACACTCTCCTTAAATGCTTATAGGGCCATGGCTAAACTTTAACATCTGAGTAGTTGGATTTGTCAATAATTAGGATAACAATCAAGGCCATACGGTATGGTGTTATAAAAAACAAGTGTGAGAATATTGCTGCACAAATTTAGTACGCATGCTAGCTATATTTTAGTTGGTGGTTATATAAGCAAGGATCTCAGAGCACAACCAAAGCCATACTGCCACATGAAGTTGAAAATAAATACAAGCTCAGCTAAGGCATGGGGTGAGGTTGAAGAAGAGCCTGTAAGCCCCGAAGCTCAATACCTCAACAGTTCGGCTCTCTGTGTGAGCAATCTCGTGGTTTTCGAGTCGGAGATCCCCATAGATGATTCTCAAGCTATGTTGACATTGGAGAACCTCTTCTTGCCCATCAACCCTCGCTTCTCTTCGATCATGGTAACATTATTTCGTTGAATTTATCTTCAATTAATGGAATGCATATATGTATCATATATTATATATGATATATAATTTTTTTTTTCTGTGGGTAAATTACACTATGGCAAGCACGGACGACCAATTGCGCTTGCAGGGTGTGAAGGAAGGTTGGGTGGGGGCCTTGGACCAAGAATTGTCCAAACAACCAACCTACCAACACAACTGATGTGTCAATGGTGTGCATTAGGTTAGATGATTCCGGATGTCCTATGCACTGGGTAAACGTTGTGGAACATCAGCTTATGCCGGAACAACGGTGCCAAAGAACTTGCATTTTGTAGTGAACCCCTAATAACTTTCAAAATCTCACTATACCCTCCATGAACCTTCAATGTTTTACAGTAAACCCCTATTAATTTTAAAATTTTACTAAACCCCGAATAACTTTTGGAATTATAGAAAGGACAAATTTTCAAAACCAACCCTTTTTGGGATTTATTTTAAAAAACTAAGCTGTTTAAGATTTATTTAGCATTTTCGACCTATTTTTAGCTAGCTAGTTGAAACTGGGTCGAAAATGCTAAATTGTAAAAACTTCACGGGATTTAGAATCCTGTGAAGTTTAGTACTTAATTAAGCAGCTCTGATCAAAGTTGCCTGGCGCGGGGGGAGGAGTGGCAGCAAACTTCACATGATTCTGAATCTCATGAACTTTGTTTGCAACTTCAAGGGATTCAAAATTCTGTGAAGTTGCAGTCTCCCATTCACAGTATCACGCCCCAGTCCTACGAGCCCGTTGGCGCGTGCAAATTGTGAGACCCACCAAGAGCAACTCGATGTTGGCTAAAGTCCACTGTCAAAATGCTAGCACTAGTTGTTCTTAGGTCTTGGGCTTCTCTATTTAAGCCACTAATATTTCTTCACACAGTCCATGTGAGACTAAAGTGGGGGTATTACAATCACCCCACCTTACAAGGATGACATCCTCGTTGTCACGACATGATAATTGGCACATCCCAGTATCACTGTTAGGCGATGTGGACTCTAGAGGTGGCTCTTACAAGATCTAGTGGCTCCCACCGTATCCACACGGTGTAGCACTTAGCCACGTATAACACTTAAATCCACACTTCCGCTTGGCAATTGCTCTGATACCATTTATCACGCCCCGGGCCTATGGGCCCGTTGGCGCGTGCAAGCCGTGAGACCCACCAAGAACAAATCGATGTTGGCTAAAGTCTACTGCTAAAATGCTAGCAATAGTTATTCTTGGCTTTTGAGCTTCTCTATTTAAGCCATTAATATTTCTTCACACTAGTCTATGTGGGACTAAAGTGGGGGTGTTACACACAGAGAGCTCGATTGGAGCTATCTGTCAATTAATCCCTCCAACTTCACGGGATTCTAAATTCCGTGAAGTTGCAGTATCTCCTTCACAGAGAGGTCAATTGGAGCTCTGTGTCAATTGAACCCTACAACTTCACGGGATTTCGAATCCCTTAAAGTTGGGTGTCATGCAACAACATGCACGCCTAGTGAATTTTTCGCTTCATTCATAACGTGTTGTATATACGAAATTTTTTTCCTCATTCACAACAATATGCATGAAAATCCAACCATAAACATGAAAATTTAACCGCATATACACTAAGTTCCAACCACATATATACACGAAAATCGATCCATACAAGCAACAATCTTTAACAATCTAACCATATATATTCATGAGATTCAGAATCACAAAATAAACATTTATCACAATATAAATATCATATCATAATATAAATATCACATACATCCTAAAATCCCGCTCCTTCCTCACCCTTTCTTACCCATTCCCCTACCTCTTCCCCCCTTTGTCCGCCCCCGATGTCCATGATCACGAGTCTTAATGATTTTGAGCATCTGGTTGTGTAAGAGGCTGAGAAGTATCGGCTCCATATCAAAATAATATTTACAATTAAATTCCGTAATTTAGAATTTTATACTTTATTTTTAAAATTTCCTAATTTTTAGTTTAGCTCAAACCCTAAAATTTAATTTTCTCTAATTTTTAAGATTTCATAATTTAAATAATTTTAACAACGTTCACTTTTAAAAATTCAATTCACTATTTTAAATAATTTTTCCTAATTTCCCATCAAATTTCTTACATATTTCCTTCATAAAATTAAAAAATAATTCAAAAATTAATCCAAAATCTAAACTAAAACAAGCTATTATAATAAAATAGTGAGAATATGTAAAAAATAGGAGAAAAATAAAAAAAATTAAAAGACTTTACCAAAAATAAGTTCAAGCAATAAATTTGAGATCCGGCAATTTCCGGCGAACTCCAGCGAACTTCGACCATCAAGGAAGTCAACGGTGGTGATGGGACATGATCAAAGACGGTCGGTGTGTATGGTGGTCACTGATGGTGACTGATCTAAGTAGTTGGGGGGAGAGAGGGAGGAGAAGCCGAGAGAGAGAGAGAGAGAGAGAGAGAGAGAGAGAGAGACCGACTAAAATAAGTGAGGGAGAGAGAGAATATAGTGGTTTAAGTAAGGTGGGGTCCCCAACTCCTAGAGAGAGAAAGACCGACTAAAATAAGTGTGGGAGAGAGAGAATATAGTGGTTTAAGTGAGGTGGGGTCCCCAACTTCACGAGATTCAGAATCCCGTGAAGTTGCAGGGATCAATTTACAACAATGGGAGACTGCAATTTCATAAGATTCTGAATCCCGTGAAGTTTGCTTCCATTCATCTCCCTGCGGCAGACAACTTTGATCAAAGCTAATTAATTAAGTGCTAAGCTTTATGAGATTCTAAATCCCTTGAAGTTTTTACAATTTATTTAGCATATTTGACCCAGGTTAAGCTAGCTGATTGAAACTAGGTCGAAAATGCTAAATAAATCTCAAACATGTTGATTTTTAAAAATAAATCTTACAAAAGGTTGATTTTAAAAATTTATCCTTGTAGATAACCCCCAAGAAGTTTTCGTGTTTTGAAGATACCCCCTTAAGTTAGAACCTGAAAATAAACATAAAAAGGCATTTTGAAGAATAATTTTAGCAAAATAAATAAATAAAATAAAAGAAAATAAAAGAAAAATTAGGGCTCATGACCCCCAACTTGAGATGAGCAAGAGAAGAATGAATGTCAAAAGACGAGAAATTTATGTTTTTAGAGTTGAAAATATAAACAGTCATAAAGGTTTTTTAAAAAAAAAAAATCTAAGTAGTTTTTGAGTCTTTTTATATCACGTGAGTTGCACATACCACATTAGATGTAACGGTCATAAATTTGGGGCTACTCTTCTGCAAAAGTCATTGGAGGGTTCAGTGTGATGTTATTGGGGGCTTACTACAAAACATTGAAGGTTCTTGGGGGGTTTTGTGTAATTTACCATTTTTCTAGTATTCCTGTGCATAAGTTTAACTTGTGCTTAGGTGAAGGATGAGCACGGGAATTCAAGATGGAGGAAGGTTCAAGTGAAACTGGAGGACCATATCAACGTTCCAGTGTTTCCTTCAGGATTGGAGTTTTATGATGATTATATGCAAGAATACATAGCGAAAATTGCAACAGAACGCTTGCCAGAAGATCAACCTCTATGGAACACACATATAATCAAGTATCCAACAAAGAATGCCGCAGGTTCTCTTGTGTTCAAGCTTCATCATTCATTAGGAGATGGTTTCTCACTTATGACAGCCCTCTTCAACTGTGTACAAAGAGCTGATAACCCTTCCCTTCCTCTGACTTTCCCCTCTATTGGAAGCACACAAGCTCAAAACTGGGGAGTTTATAGGGCTCTATCCGATGTTTTCTCGATGTGCATTAACACAATTAAAGACTTCAGTTGGAGTCTTGCGTTGAGTAGCATAAAAGATAGCGTAACTCCTATAAGGTCAGGGGATGTCGGCATTGAAGATAGACCAATCACCTTATCAACTGTCACATTTTCGCTCAGTGATATCAAGCAGATAAAGGGCAAGCTAAAAGGGGTAAGAACAATTGAACGAAAATTCCTAAGTTTAAGGCATCCCATATACAGTACAGGTATTAGTTTTGCAGAGAAAATTGAAATTCTTTCATTTCATAGAATTCATTAATATCAAGCAAATAAAGGCCAAGCAAAGGGAAAAGATCAATCGTCCAAATTCCTAAGTGTATGGAATTAAATATTCACATATGTTAGTTTTACAAAGTAAGGCCAGCCTTTCATTTCACTGAATTCATTAATAAGCAGATGAAGGGCAACCTAAATTGGGGTAAAGATCAATCAAACAAAAATTTCCAAATTTATGGCATGCTATACACACTTGCATGTTAATTTTGCAGATCAGTGAATTCTTCATTTTCATTGCGTTCATTAAAATCAAGTAGATACAGATCAAGCTATAGGGTGTCTAGAAATCAATTGAACAAATTTCTAAATTTATGGCATTCTATGTACACACATGTATTAGTTTTGCAAGAGAAGTGAATTGCCATTTCATTGAGTTAATTCTTTTTCTGTGTCAGTAAGTTTAAGTAAAATTTTCTTTTTTGATACTGTTTCAATTTTTGTTCCACAGACAGTTAATGATGTTATAACTGGAATAATTTTCTACGGCATGCAACTCTACTTGCAAGCTGCTGGCCAAGAAACCAAACCTGCAAAGGTGACCGCCCTCGTATTGCTGAACACAAGGGCAATCAGAACATACCAACCACTGAAAGAGATGGCTCGACGCGATTCAAAGGTTCCTTGGGGCAACCATTTCGCCTTTTTGCATGTCTCGATCCCTACAAATAAGGACCCTGAGAATGCTGATCCTCTACATTCAATACGCCGAGCCAAGAAAATTATCAAGGCTAAGAGGAACTCACTCGGTGTCTATCTCACTGCTGGAATTCTGGAAATTATGAGGAAGTTTAGAGGATCAGAGGTTTGTTTCACAATTAGACTTAACTTACATATATCTCTTAAAAAAAAGGCTCAATGAAACTTAACCTACATATATTGTGCAGGCTGTTTCTAGGCACATATACAAAACGTTAACCAATACGAGCCTGACGATTTCTAATCTTATCGGGCCATTGGAAAAGTTGCAGATTGCTAATCACCCTTGCAAGAGCTTCTATTTCATGGTGGTGCGAGCTCCACAGGTATATCATCTTTGAAACATGAACATGTTTATTGGACTGTTCTAATTAGTTCATTTATATGTATTGCACGTTTGATTGCAGAGTCTCACAATTACTGTAGTAAGCTACATGGGTACGATAAAGGTGGCAATAGGAGCAGAGAGAGATTTCATAAATTCTGAGCTCCTTGTATCTTGTATGGAGAAGTCATTTGAGAGGATTTTTGATGCAGCAGTTGGCAATAGAACTTGACATGGATTACTCAAGCTAATTAAAAGCAATCATTGTTGTCTCTAGCATGATCTTTCTCCTAAAAATGCTACTAAATAAAGGATATTTCCCCTAAGACAATTATTTAAGGGCGATAATTCTTGTTTTTCGCGATAATTCTTGTTTTTCTTTATTGCAACATAACTGAATAGAATAATAGAATTATATGGCTTGTTATGTGTGACCCAAATAGTCAGTGTTTCTTCAGTTCGATCCGATTTAACCGAAAGTGTGATGCAGTTTGGATTGATTACAAACATGGGGGATGATAAAGGTAGTTTATGGTACTTTTATATTGGAGGGAGATGCAGATATCTGGTGGGAAAGTAAGGAAGCCCGCTTATCAATCGAGGAGGAGAATATTCTTTGGAGCAGATTTATTAATTTATTCAAGGAGAAATATTTTCTCTTGTATGTCTGATCTCACAAGAAGAGAAAACTTATGGATATACCGTTGTGCACAGTGGAATCGAAGGACATGAATAAGATAGGAGAACAAATCAACAACCAAACACAAGCATCACACAACAAGACACCAAATTTTATGTGGTTCGGCAATGTGCCTAAGTCTACGGGGTAAGGAGGGGGAAGATTTCACTAATAGACAGAGTACAATAGGGTTTACAATCACTCAATAATCTCACAAAATAACCCTCAAACAAAACTCTCAAATCCCTCACAACACAAAATAACCCTCAAACAAAACTCTCAAATCCCTCACAAATTCTCCCTTTCTAAGTGCTCAAACAATGCTCAAATCTCAGCTCTTAATCTCTCACCAAATCCCTCACAAATTCTCCCTTTCTAAGTGCTCAAACAATGCTCAAATCTCAGCTCTTAATCTCTCACTTAACCCTAGAAAACATCATGTTCCTATTTATATCAAATAGGAATCCAAAATAGATCAGGAAAACGAATCTGGGCCCAAACCGCATCACGGTCGACCGGGCATGAGCATCCGGTCGACCGGCCAGAAGCCCAAACTCTCATCTTGTAACTCAGCATACCTTCGGTCGACCGCACATACATGATCGGTCGACCGGCCAGACACATGAATCCAAACCCTGTAATCGTTCACCTTTTCGGTCGATCGGACATGTATGTTGGTCGACCGACTAACGATAGGGTTTCTCACCCTGTAATTTCACAGTCTGTCGGTTGACTGGCCTATGTACTTTGGTTGACCGACCAGTGACTAGTCTTGTGCCCTCAAAATTTCCTGATCTTCTTTGTCATTTCTACAAATCTCCACCTCTGTGAAGTTTTTTCTAAAAACTGAGCCAACCTGAATACCAATCATCCCACTTGTTGCGTCCAGTATGAAGTGGAGTCAATCCACAACAACTGACTCAATCCACAACAAGTTAGGAACCCAAATGAGAACTCTAACAAGGATCTCCACCGTATCGGTATCAACTCATCAAATTTGGCTGCATCAAACTGACTGCCTACATATCCTCTTGCCCAAGAAATCAAGCCTCACGTAGTTCACCCAAATGGCCTCTAAAGGCCCTCAACAATGAAAAATGTTTAACAACTCCAAACAATGACCAAATTTCACCCCAGTGATAACTTTGGTCAACATATTTGCCGGATTGTCCTTTGTATGGATCTTCTCTAATATAATGTCTCAATCATCCAAGACATCTCGCACAAAATGGAACCTGACATCAATGTGCTTTGTTCGGGCATGATACACCTGGTTTTTTGTCAAATAGATAGCTGACATGCTATCATATTTTACCCTGATGGCATCCTGTGTAATCCCCAAGTTATCTAATAACCACTACAACCACAAAGCTTCCTTCACAGCTTCAGTCAATGCCATAAACTTTGCCTCCATAGTGAAAAGAGCTACTGTAGACTGAAGTGTACATCTCTAATATACCGGTGCTCCTGCTAGTGTAAACACATATCCAGTAGTAGACCGGCGCTTGTCAAGATTCCCAGCATAATCTGAATCCACATATCCGACACAATCATGCCCATTTCTCTCATTCTTCTCAAATACCAAACAAACATCCACGGTACCTTTGATATATCATAAGATCCATTTCACGACCTCCCAATGACCCTTTCTGGGGTCATGCATGTACCTAAACACCATGCTCACGGCCTGTGACAAATCTGGCCTTGTACACACCATAGTATACATCAATCTACAACAGCACTAGAATATGGAACTTTAGACATGTATTCATAGTCCTTAACTGAAACAGGTGACATCTTAGCTGATAGCTTAAAGTGAGGAGCTAATGGAGTACTCACCGTCTTGGTATTGCCATAAAAATTAAATTTCTTCAGCATCTTTTGCAAGTAGCTCCTCTGAGACAATTTTAACCTCCCCTTCACTCTGTCTCTCTCAATTTCCATACCCAATATCTTCTTTGCTTCCCAAGGTCCATCTCAAATTCAAATGACAACTCATTTTTCAACTTCCTAATAGCTGAAGTATTTCTAGAAGTAATGAGCATATCATTAACATATAACAACAAATAAATATACTCACCATTTTGTAGCTTGTGCATGTACACACACGGGTCATATGGACTCCTCGTGTACCCTTGGCCAATTATAAAACTGTCGAATCTCTTGTACCATTATCGCGGTGATTGTTTCAATGCAAAAAGAGATTTCTTCAGTTTACATACTAAATCTTCTTTGCCTGCAACTCTAAAACCCATCTGCTGTGACATATAGATCTCTTCTTCTAAATCTCCATGTAGAAAGACTGTTTTCACATCTATCTAGACCAAATCCAAATCCGGCTGTGCCACCAATGCCAATAGTATTCTTATCAATGTATGCTTCACAACAGGTGAGAATACCTTATTGTAATCAATGCCCTCAAGTTGGGCATACCCTTTGGCAACCAATATGGCTTTGTATCGAATGTCCCCATCAGAAGATCCTTCTTTCTTTGCATATACCCACTTGCATCCAATTTCTTTCTTACCCTTTAGTAATTTTGCAATCTCCCAAGTGTTATTCTTTTGAAGAGAATGCATCTCCTCCTCCATAGCTTTCCTCCACCTGAGTGAATCAGAGCTTGACTCTGCTTTTTTATATGTAGAAGGAACCAAATCTTCAATGACCTCCACTGACAAAGCATATGTAATCATCACATCATCATATCTAGCTAGCTGACGAATGATTCTTCTTGGTCTATTAGCTGCAATGAACTCCTAAACATGATCCTGTTCCTGAGTCCTAATATCCACTGTATCCTCTACCTGCCCATCTGTCATATCTCTTCCCAGTGTCACCTCTGTAGGAGCCACAATAGATACAATGCTATTTGAAGTCTGTGGAGTCACATCATCCTCCACCTCCTGTGATACCTCACTAGTCTGGCCTTCCTCCACCTGCTGAGGGACCTGAGGCCTCATCATGTGAGCCTCATCAAAAGTGATATCTTTGCTAATGATTATCTTTTTGTCTTCTGGATCCCACAACTTGAAGCTTTTAACTCCATTTCTAAAATCCACAAAGACTGCTTTTCTTATTCTCGGATTCAGCTTCCCATCATTCACATGATAGTAAGCTGGACACCCAAATATCCGAATCAAATCATAATCACTAGCCACTGTATCGGACCATACCTCCATAGGAGTCTTTCCATATATCGTAGTGTATGGAAACCTATTCACGAGATGACTTGCATAAACCAACGCCTTGGCCCAAAAGGATTTAGCTAATCCACTCCATGAGAGAATATAACGCACCTTCTCCAGCAAAGTACGGTTCAATCTCTTATCCACCCCATTTTGTTACGGTGTCTCCCTAAGTGTGAAATGGCACCTAATGTCGTGATCCCAGCAAAACTATAAAAATGGATCACTCTTATACTCACCACCATTATCAGAACGGAGTACTTTCACCTTTCTACTTGTTTGTCTACTTTCTTTTTCCATTCCATAAATATATTCAGGACCTCATGTTTATGCTTCATGGTATATACCCAATTCCTCCTAGAATAATCATCAATGAAAGTAACAAAATAATTGGCTCCACCAAGAGATGTGTTTTTGGAAGGACCCAAACATTTGTGTGAACGTAATCTAATATATCTTGGGTATTATGAATTGTGGTGCTAAATTTCACTTTTGTCTTCTTCCTAAGTATGCAATGTTCATACAACTCCATCTTGCAGGTTTTTGCACTCTTCAATAGCCCCTGTTTTGCCAATGTCTGTAGAGACTTACCACTAGTGTGTCCCAATCTCATGTACCATAGGCGGGTAGTATCCTCCTTTGTGGTAATAGAAGCTACCAGACCCTCTGTTACTATCTTTCCCTTCAAATAGTAAATATTATTTTCCCTGACACCTCTCATCACCACCATGGACCCCTTAGTGACATTCAAAGTTGCATTCTCCATGATCACCTTATAACCTGATACCTCTAAAGTTCCAAGTGAAATGATATTCTTCGTCAATTGAGGAACAAATCTTACTTCCTTCAACTCCCTAGTCACTACGTCACACATCCTGATTCGAATTGTTCCAATACCACCAATGGGACATACGTGATCATTTCCCATTACCACGATACCCCCTCTCTCTAACTCCTCAAAGCTAGAGAACCAATTCTTCCTAGGGCAAATGTAGTAGGTAGCACCCGAATCCAACATCCACTCTGTAGAGTCTGCATAACAAACTAACAGTAATGCTAGGCATGAATAGCGTGAAGAATATGAGTCTGAATTGTTACCACTAACTTTGGTTGTTAGTACCTTTGTTTTGATGATGATTTACAAACAATCCCTAACATCGTTTGTCTAGTGTTTGTGTTTGCTCATTAGATATTCTAGAAAAACATCAATGTCGAAGGTTGGTTGGATTGTGCCTACACGGTCATATCCATTGGAGGATGGAAGGAATATCACAGTGAAGCCTTGCAATTCAAGTTAAAGATTCAAGATCAAGCTTCATCCGCAAAGTTTACCAAGATGAGCTATATTGAAGATCAATCTAGCTTGGGTAAATTAGTTTAGGGTTTATACTTGTGTGTTAATCCTTAGAGCTCAATCTTACACACACATAAACATTTTGGTTTTATAGTTTTCAAGATTGAATAAGAAACAAATTTACTTATTTATATACATACATACATGTTTCATATCTATCATTTTTGGTTTTGGTAAACAAGTGTTTAGCCACATAAACATGAA